ACAATCAGGGCAAGAAACATCTAGATGTTTCCTAGTCGTGGGACCTATAGATCCTCATCCTAGGGATGTGTAACTTTTTCCTACAAGTAGAGGCTCTCTCAACTGGAGAAAAGCATCGTGTCAATCTCTAAGCTTTACAATAAAAAACAAAATTATCTTGCTTATTTATCCAAAGTGGCTAGAGAATGAGATACATAAATTATCTGACTAGTCTGATTAATAGCTATAAGGATAACTTCATTCTTTCCCTCAGTTTACACTGTCAAGTTTTCCTAGTCTCTTTTTAAAAAAAAAAAAAAAAAAAAAGACTTGTTCCTTCTTTTCTCTTGAGTTAGTTTCTTCAGTGTTCAACTTTCTCCTCGCCAGAGTCTCCATCCCTCCTGGTCACCTTAACCCTATAAAATCTGGCTTCCAGGTCTCAGCACGTACTTGAATCTCCCCTCTCAAAGTCCACCAGTGACCTGTGGGTGCTGTTCTCAGTCTGCATGGCCATCAGGATCTCCCCAGCCTTATTAAATGAATGACTCCCCATCTTTGAAACAACCTCCTTTTAGTTCTATGCCCCATATGCTCAAGGTTCTTTATCCTAATTCTTGAACACACCCTCCCTCCTTGCTAAGTGTGATTATTCCCCAAGAAGGTATCCAAGGACTCTTCTCTTTCTATTCTCCCATCCTTGGCAATCCCTTGTAAGCCCAAGCTTCAACTCTCACCTTTGGGAAAAGACCTCTGAAGCTGGTTATCTTTCACCTTGACTCTCTTCCCAGCTCCAAGCCACAGGTCCACCCATCTGCAGACCTCTCTACAGAGAAATCCTGCCTGGACCAACAAGCGGGGCGAGACACTTCATGCGTCCTCTAAAATCCCTGTCCTGTCTCACCCTCCTCCTCATTCCTAAGGCTACCACCCACCCGCAAGAATGTCCTCCCTTCTCTGAACAGCCGCAGTCCTTTGCCTCACCTCTCGTCACAGCCAACCCTTCCTACACTGCAGTCTAGTTATCTGCTCTTGGGTCTCACCTCCCAGGCTAACCTATGAGCAATCTTACTGCAGGACCCAATCCTTTTTAGCTCTACATTCCACAGTGCTTTGTACACAGTAGGTACTAAAAGAATGAATGAAAACATTCTTACCCACCACCCCTGGAACAGACAGAGTACATTAATGTTTTAGGAGACACTTCACTTGCTTTCAATCTTCTCTTATCATCTTTCACTCTGAGCAACCACATGCCAGGGACTTAGCTAGACACTGGGATATTGCTGCTACTGCTACTGCTGCTCCTACTGCTTCTATTACTATTAATACTAATACTATAGCCACTACTATTAACCACAACAACAGACATTCAGTACTTACTATGTATCGGGCACCATGATAAGCATTTATAGGGATGACAGCATTTAATCTTAACAACCACCCTACGAGATAGGTAACATTGGCCCCCCAGTTCACACATGGGACAACTGAAGCACAGACGAGAACCAAGTAACTCCCCTGCCTTCAAGGAGCTCTTAGTCTAGCAAAGGAAGGCGGCCCTGGACACACAGTCACCATGTGCTGAGTGCTATGAAGGAAAAGCACAGGCTATAACAGGATGCGTAACAACAGGTCGTAGCTCAGGACAAGGGCCAAGATACTTTCCTGAAGAAACCATGCTTAAGTGGGAATCTGAAGGACAAAACCAGAATAAGGCAGCAAAAGAGGAAGAACATGCCATCTCAAGGGACCGGCTAACTATCGCATGGCCGCACAAGAAGCCAGGCACTGATAACGGAAAGCGTGCTCTCCTAAACAGAACACCCACCCCTGCAACTGTCCTGTGCACCAGAGAGGGAGAAAATCAGCTCCAGGCGGCCTGGGCGGTTGGGAACCCGGTTCGCCTACCAAGCATAGTTCCTATTTTCTATTCATATTTAAAGATTTTATTTTTTTCCTTTTTCTCCCCAAAGCCCCCCAGTACATAGTTGTATATTCTTAGTCGTGGGTCCTTCTAGTTGTGGCATGTCGGATGCTGCCTCAACGCGACTCCATGAGCGGTGCCATGTCGGCGCCCAGGATTCGAAACGACGAAACACTGGGCTGCCTGCAGCAGAGCGCGCGAACTTAACCACTCGGCCACGGGGCAGGCCCTGTCTATTCATATTTAAACACAGGATGTCGAGATACACTTATAACCAAATCCCTTATGGAATCCAGCTTTTAAAAAAATCCTTCATGGGGCCATATTATTTTAAGAACTTAACCACCAGGTGTTAGCAAAATGTAATGATAGATTTCAATTTACCAAAAGTGCAGAAACTCTCCTAGAATTCCACAGAAAGAGCTCCATGCCATCAAGTCAAAGGGGTTTTGTCTCAAAGAGTGGCAATAATTATAATCCAATGGCAGCACATCCTCTACCCAGCTCATGCAGTGGGGTTACCCTCTCAACAGAACAAAATAGATTTCTTAAATTTGCAACCACCTGAGACACAACTCTCTGGTGTTCTTTTTTCCTTTGCCTTTGCCTGCAACAAAACAGAATCATCGCAAGCCCTTTGCTGTCGATCTAAATTCTCTGTGTCTCCTTTACAATCGCTCCAACATACTATAAATATACAGCTTTTGTGACATAAACGCAAAGTTTTATTGTGCCGTTAGCCTTGATAGAAAGCACTGCAGAAAGTTGTTTAGAAATTAAATATCTAAAACAAGCTATTTTAAAATCCAGGGCCCTCACTATTTCATGTCTGCAATGAAGAAATTTCATCTTGGGGAGAGCAAGCTGTCTTTCACACCATATGGCTAATGGTGGTGCATAGCAATTAGCCAGGCTGATTAATGGTGAACAGACTCTAATTTTATGCTTATAATTGAGCCTGCATTTGCACCCCTGGTGCAAATTCAGCACATCCCAACTTCCACTTACAAGAGGCAAGAAATCAAGAGAAATAGGATGGTGTGGAAAGTGAGAATTTTTTTTCCTAAAGCCCCCTAAAGAGCATCAGATTTGCAATTTAAAAGACTGTTAGCCACACAATAGATGACAGGTTTGTGTAATAGGGTCCTGGCGGCCTGGTAAACAAACAGTACCCCTTACACATCTATAGGCAGCCAGGAAAAACGTAATCTGTAACATTAACAGGATGACATTTTGAATATGGCTTTTCCCTCTTAGCCACACAGTACAAACATCATCATTTGCCTTCAGTGGCTTGAGAATTTTATTTTTGCTATTTTTATGTTTCTGAAAAATAGAAAGAACATCAGCAGTAAAGCACACCAACCAGCATAATAAAGTACTTTGGACCCATGAATTTTAAGAACAAGAAAAATATAAACTGCATTAATAGAGGGTAGGCTTGTGTGTGAAAGGCATAATATATCTTTAAGTATTTCAAGAACAGAATTATTTCTAGCATCGTCCAAACATGTACAGATATGAGATGCAAATCTATGATATATAGATATTAGTTGGCCTGCTGGTTGAGATCCATCTTCCAATTTTGCTAGAATCACATGTAATAGAATACGGAAAATTCATTCTAATGCATGCTAATTGTGAGAAGCTAAAGTAGAGATATGTTGGGGAAAATAGTTATAATACAAAGGAGGTCATTTTAACCCTTTTCAAAATGATTTTACTCATTTAATTCTGAAAAGTGCAATTCAGCTTTAATTGCACAATTGTTGTATACAGTACAACACTATTTTTGCCTAATAATATCTTCTAAGAAATCCATGACCATATTTTTGCTACTGCTTTAAAGTTAGAGAAAAGCAACCTGTTCTGGGAATAATTAACAAGTTTCACAAGTCACTGAAGTGAAAACTTGTGAAACTCCTGTATATGTTAGAATAACGTATTAGGAGTAGGTTTTTTAAAAAGGAAAAAAGGCAATCTTTATACACATACATAATTATAGAAATAGAAGAAGTTAATATTTGGGATTTCACTAAGGAAACATTTTATTTCCACCTGTAGAATTTTAAGATTGTTTTCCCTACAAGTCCATGAGCAGCAAAAAAAAAGCCCACCCATGCCGAAGCGGCAGCTTATGCCCTAAATGGATTGGTCAGCAATAGTCAGGAGCCAAGCACGCTCTGTGCCAGGGAGAGGCTGCACGGCTAACAAAGCAATTAGTAGCCTTTCTCTGATGCATAGTGGCATCTTCATGCTTTATCCAATTACTCAGAATATATCAGGAAGAAAGTACCAGTGCTATTTTATGAAGAATAAGAATCCTAAGCCACAAGCTAAAAAGCTGTTCTCTAGGCCACTCTCTCAAATGTGGAGCACTGGCTGAGGCCATGGAAGTGAATTTCGTCTGTCTGCCTGTTTTCAAATGTGGCTGCACTCTGATCACAGACAAAAATAAAGACATTGGTTTGGGGGTGACATGAGTTTTTACACCTTTCAGGGATTCATCTCTGCTATCCTTCAAAAGCTCACTACAGTTGAGAAATATGAGCTACACTGTCATAGTTATATACGGGGTAACTAAGGTTAAGAGATCAGACACAAGGGGAGAAAAAAACCCCACATTCAACTCAAGGCAGAATGATGCCTATGTGCGAATGGTCCTATTTTTAAGTGGGAAAATTAAAAAGGGGAACTATAACTTTCAAGTCTTATCCAAACAGAGGCTTCTGCTGACATCAATAGAACTTTTACTCATTTTACTAGCAAGGCAGTTGAGCGCATATATTAACACTAAAAGTGTTATACTGTATTTTATTCGATTGAACGGAAGAAGGGGAGGGCACTGCTTTGTGCCCATTAACAGTGTGATATCAAAATGGAAATGTATATCTTTCAGGATGAAATCTAATAAATAATTGAGAACCACTGTGATGCCTGGCACTTTACTACCAAATACGTCTAACAGTTCTTTGTAGATTGTCTAAAAGAAGCAAGATAAATGTAGACCCCAAGATAGACCTGAGTTCACCTAGATTTGAGATACAAAGTCATCTTCTCTTTGCTAATTAAAGGGCGAGAACAAGGTATTTCTTACCTGCACATGATCTCGTGTGTGAGCAAGACTCGGCACATTTCTGGGTTCTTGTCTTGGCCTTCATACACTATGGCCTGTAAACAAAGGCACAATTTGAGCTAAGAATGGAACCAAGGAGCAGAAAGCAAACTATCACAATTGAGTTCTTGACCACTTCACCACCACTGTGGGCCAATTAGCTTTCAGGAGCTGAAGGCCTCACTGGGCTGATTGTTTCAAGATACCTTGTTAAGGATCAACCCAAATCGAGTGGAAGAGGATATGTTCCTCTCTGTCCCATCCACCACCTCATTATGACGCATGTCTTTGGACCAGTGTGTGAGATGGGCTTCTGTCGCCAAGACAACCACAATTCTCCTTTCAATTCAGAATAAAAATAAATCAAACCAACGAGAAGGAAAAACCCAGTATTTCCTATTGATTTAAAATATAAAAAAGCATATGGATTTGATTTTTTAAATGCTATGTATTTGCTGCCTCATTTCCCTTCTTCCAGTCCCAACATTTAGTGTTCTAGAGCTGCAGAGAAGAAAACAAGTCGGGACACGGTTAATGAGTGCATTCACTAGCTGTGTCTTCTTTGAGATGATTCATCAATCAGGGAAAAATCATTCTTCCCGCCAACAGGCTGAAAACACGTGCTCTCCGGGGTGTACACCCACCCAAACAGTAATACACTCCGGCATATGCTGTGCATGTGGGCTTAAGCCATAGAGTTATCTCTCTAAACTAAAGAATTACATCTGACTCTCAAAATCTGGAGTCCCACACCACCTCACCAGCCAAGATGTTTTTGTCTGTTTTCAGTAATGCGCATACAAACTTTTTGCTTCAGATCACCAGGAAGTTTCCCCGGGACTTCAGCTTCCTGGAAGACCTACGTGCTAATACTTCAGCCAAGGAAAAACTCACACGATTGGTAGGGCAGTGTTCTGCAACAGGATACATTTTAACTAACTTAACACTGTATCACTGCATAATACTAATATAACACAGCTTCAAATCATTAATAAAGTTACTTTCACACTTTCAGATAACACTCAATTTCTTGGTGACAAAACTACTTTTATTAACCAGAAACTATCCTTACTTAGAACATACAGATGCCGCAGTAAGTAACTTGTAGCTGGCTCTAATGTGCTTTCTTTATGAACCTGGGACTTTCAGAACCTATAAATGATGAGACAGCTTAAGATACAGTGTGTGCACACCCCCAGAGCAGGCCCTCGTTATAATATCTAACTTCATTACAGAAAAAAATTGCAACAAATTTAAAAATGATTAAGAGAATTTGCATAAGAAGAAAACATTTCCCTACCATTGTCCCGTCAAAACTACTTTTTATGGTTAGCCTATCATACCCTTGTATTTTTAATATTTTACTTTGACATAATTTTAGACTTACAGAAAAGTTGCAAGAATATATAAAAAATTCCAAGGTGCTCTTTATCTGGATTCCTCAAATGTTTACATTTTACTAAATTTGCTTTATTCTTTCCTATTTTTTTCCTGAACCATTTATTAGCAAATTGCAAACATGCACTAAATACTTCAGCATGTATTTCCTTAAAACATGGAATTCTCTTACGTAACCATAGTATAATTATCTGAATCAAAAAATTAACACTGATACAATATAATAATCTAATCTACGGCGCTTATTGAGATTCACAATTACCCAATAATGTCCTTTACAGCAAAAAAAAAATCCAGTATCAATCATTGTATTCAGTTGTCATGTCTCCTTTAATACAGAACATTCCTGAGTCTTTGTATTTCATGAGACTGACGTTGTTGAAGAATGCAGGCCAGTTATTTTGTAGCTCAATCTGGGTTTGTCTGAGGTTTCCTCAGAGTTAGACTAAAGTTACACCATTCAGGGCGGCAATACCACAGATATGATGCTGAGTTCTTCTCAGTGTATCAAACAACACTGTTAACTAGTTCTACTAGTAACAGTAAACCTTGACCATTAGGTTAAGGTGCTGCCACCGACCAGAGACCATCCACCAGATTTACCCACTATAACATTACTACTTGACCTGATGTAATTCATAACTATCTTCTTGGGAGATAATCTAGATTATATTAATACCATATTATGCCTCAAATTTCAACCACTGGTTTTAGCATGCATTGAAGATTCTTTCCTGTATTCTTAAAAGACCTTTTCAAATACCCAAGAAGTTGCTTTACTCAAGGAAATGCATTAAATAAATCAAAAATGTTTTGAAAACCAAAAATTGTATCTGCCTGCTTTATTTACTGCAATCACTGCTGAAAAATCAAGGAAACACTATAAATAACTGATTAGATCTCATACGTGGTGCTAAAAAATTCTAATCATGCATTTCTGTGAAATCGTATTATCACTACATGTTTTGTATGTTTTCTTAATGGTCCTGATAACCTCTGTTTCAACTTCAGGTTTTCGTCATGCTAAACCAATACAAGTAACTTGGTAAATAAATTCACAGGTATTGAAGGGGTTTTCCCTCCTTCAAAAAAAAAAAACAGCTTGGTTTTTTTGGGAGGAGGGAGTATCAGTTACATCAGACCTTCTCATTTTAATCCTTTCTAGATGATTCCAGTATTATTTTTACTGAGGTTGCTGGTTCCATTGAAATCAGTGGCCCATGATGATATTCAAGGAAAGATAGGTTGCAACACAAAAATACACACGACTCTCCCAAAGAGTAGATATGACCCATGGACTCCTAGGTCTCCCATGTTTTTTAATCTTTGGTTACTGAACATCATTTCTTGAAGGCCAAGGACCTCTGTTATACATCTCTTTACCAAATGCCAAACTGCTACTTGTCCTGTGGCAACAAAGTCACAATGGAGAATCTTTCTCTAAATCAAGCATAGAAAAATGAAAGCATCACTTTGGATTTGCACAGAAATAGGTAGGAATTCTGAGGAGGGATGGACGGAAGCCTGAAGTTTCTGCTGTCCCTTTTCGTGGGGCCTCAACAGAACAACATTTTTCAGCACATAAATACAGAGAAAAAAGTGCTTGCTGCTTCTGTGACTTCTGAAATAAAAGCAAGCGAAACAGAGAATCTTGTCACTCGCCTATGCAGTAGAACTAAAAGCCTGTGAAAGAGTAAACTAGAACCCCAGTGTAACAGGGTCAGCTGTAGCGTGGAACTCAATCAAAGAAGACCTACCTGTGACCTCGCCTAAGCAGATTTTGTTACTAAAAACGCTCACTAAACAAACACACACACAATATCATATAAAAGGTATGGGTGAAGAAATCAACATTCTGATGAGATCCAATATAGAAAATAGGATAAATTTACTTTGATGAATGTCTCTAACACAGAGTATCAACAATAAGACAGACTTTTTAAAATGCCGCCAAGTTCTCCTTCTGGCTTAGACGTACAATTGATAGCCACACATCAACTCTCCACCATCTACATTTGGTACCCACATCAAGCCAGACGGGTTCACAGTTCCGCAAACTCAGACTTTAAGCCTAAAAGGAAAGGGATCTTCTAAGGCCAACTTAGAGGAAGTTTCTGCTTTTCTTTCTAATTTAAATATGTGCCTCTGTGGAGTGTGAGTAAAGCTCATTGAGGCTGGATCAGCTGGGAGATCACAGAAGCATATAAACAGCATTGACTATTTTAAGTGAAACCATTTTAATAGACAGCTGGTTTAGGGCCCAGACAATGGAACACCAAGAAGAAGGCTTATTTTCATCCTCCATAGTAAATCATGCGTCTGCTCCCTGTGAAGAAGGTAGTATGCTATGAGAGCGACAAAGACAACAGTGGTTTAAATAAATCAACGTGTTTATCAGGAGTAAGGATGGGAGGCCTGTTACAGAGACGAGCAGGAAGGGGAAAGGAAGCATAGAGAATATATTTTTTAAATAAATGAATTGATGGTGAACCAAGTTGAGGTTTTAACCTAAGAAACAAAAAATATAATAGCAAGTAGAAAACGATGTTTACATTAATCCTGCCAATGGCAAATAAACCCCTTAAAGTGGCAAGAATGCTTGTACAGGAAGAAAAAAAATAGAATGAACAGCACTAACTTCATCTCAACTTTAAAAACCTGGTGAAACTGACAAACAAGTTGTCAAAACTTGACATATTTGGAGCAGATTTATTTTTCTGATATGCCAGCTCCCCTTTTTTTAATGTCCTCTTCTAACAAGCAAAAAGAAAAATCTCATAATTATTTTTAATACTCTATTAACTTTCAAATGGAGGGTTTTTTTCAGAATAATTTTTTATAATTAACCAAAAAGAAGAAAAAAAAGGAACTGTTAAACTTTCACATCCTTTCGCAACAGTGCCAGAGGTTTACAGTGAGAGGATAGAACGCCACCAATTTCAAATGCCCAATTATAAATTAACCTATAACATCTTTGAAAAGAAACAGATCAATCAATAGAGAAAATCTGTTTCTGTTGCCACTGTTTTAAAAGGCGTCTTGTGAAGCGTTCATCCCTGCTTTTCTAAAACATCGCTGCGTCTGAAAAGTTAATTGAAACTTACTATGGAGAAAGACCACACAGCAAAACAAAAAATACACAGTGCACATACACCAGGATCACACTTCAATAGGATGCCAAAGGAAATACAGAGAATTGAGCACTGTTTTTCTTTGTTTACTTTTCTAGTAGTTTTAACTCTTTGTGCTCCATGCCAAAACAAAAAGGGCGAGAATACTTTTAACTTTAGTTCATCAAAATCCGGAAGGGTTTTAGGAACAAAATATTTTCAGTAAGAGTCTTTCTTGGTTTACAACCAAACAATAGGAGACTTGTCATCATTAGTTTAGAGAGAAGGAAGGAAGGAGTAAAGGAAGGAAGAGAGGGAAGGAGGGAGCGAGGGAGGGAGGGAGGGAGGAAGGAAGGAAGGGAGGAAGGAAGGAAGGAAAAAGAAAGAAAAGTGGGTTATCTATAACTAACAAAAACTCTTAATTTTCCTTTTACATCGAAACAGTAACCTTGAAAATATGTCACTCCTTTTTCCACATACAAAATAAAAGGCCAAACCTAATTTGTCGCTTTAAAGAATAAGTTCATGAACGTACAAAGTACCTCCTT